ACCTGGAGAGTGAGACAGGGACAGGGAGTGAGACACTGAGCACACATGGAGAGTGAGACACAGACAGGGAGTGAGACACTGAGCACACATGGAGAGTGAGACAGGTAGAGAGAGTGAGACAGGTAGAGAGAGTGAGACACTGAGCATACATGGAGAGTGAGACAGAGTGAGACAGATATAGGGAATCCTTCCTTTTTTCCCTGTCTTTTCTCTGCATTCTGACTTTTTCTTAAAATATCAGAATTATGACTTTTTCAGAAATTTCAAAAATGTTGGCTTTATTCTCCATTCCTACTTTTTCCTCAAAATCTAAGACATTTCTCAGGATTAAATGTTTTGCTTAAAATTCTGACTTTTTTTCTCAGAATCAATTTATTTTTACTTTTTGTTCTAAAAATCTTAAAATGTTTACTTTTTCCTCAAAATCAAAAAAATCTGACTTTTCCGAAATTTCTCAGGATTCTATTTTTTTCTTAAAATTAGGACTTTTTTCTAAAAATCTGAACTTTTTTACTTTTTTCCAAAATACACATTTTTTCTCAAATCTTAAAATTCAGATTTTTTTTTTAAATTCTGAAAATCTATTTGTTTCTCCCCTCCAAGATGTTTTATATTTCTTTGATATGTACATGTTCTTGCCTTCTTTAAAACTATTCAGCTAACATGAGTTTTGAGTTTTCGTACCGCAGGAAGTCAGTCTCTCTCTGGATTCTGGACGTCTCCGTGCTGCTCAACCCACCTGAGCTCTGACAGACAGGAAACAGCTCAGTGAAAACCTGCTCACACACATTTCAGCACGACAGTGTTAGTGTCTTACCTCTGCTGGGGGGCGTGGGGGGGGGTCCGGTCTTCTGCTGTCTGTTCGGAGAGCCCAGCCGACCAATCAGAAACCGAGGACCTGCGAGAGGAGAGCTTCCCATCATCCTCGGCTCTGAAGACAAACAGGAAGTGACGTCACAGTGACTCTAGAGTTCCTTCTTTCACTTGAAAAACATTTCCCGACTGAAGCCCTCACTCTCAACCGATGACACCAAATAAATGGTTTATGCACTCGTCTTCTCAAGACTAGACTACTGCAATGCACTCCTCTCCGGTCTCCCAGCCAAATCCATCAACCGCCTGCAACTTGTCCAGAACAGTACAGCCAGAGTTCTCACCGCTTCAAAAAGTTCCGCCCACATAACCCCCATACTTGCCGAACTACACTGGCTCCCAGTCCACTACAGGGTCCAGTTTAAGGTTCTCCTCCTCACTTACAAAGCCCTGAATGACCAAAGCCCAAAAAACCTCTGGGACCTCATCCGTACCCAGACATCTACCCGCTCTCTCCGCTCCAGCCACGCTCCTGTTCTTTACATCCCCCGCACACGTCTCCGGACAATGGGAAACCGAGCCTTCTGGTCATTCGCCCGCGGCTCTGGAACTCCCTCCCAGATCAGCTGAGATCTGCCCCTTCCACCGAGGTCTTCAAAACCGGCCTTAAGACCCTCTTCTTTCGGCATGCCTTCCAATAAACTTTGATCATGGTACACCTGGAGTACTGCCATTTGTATCGCTATCTCTGACTTTTTGTTTTGTTTTTTGTAGTACACTTTTTTTTTTAAACTTGTACTCTCCAACTTGTTATCTCTTAAATGTCATCAGTGTCGCCTGTTGGGAAGCGCTTCGGGATTTGTCTTGGCAGATGAGAAGCGCTAAATAAATTGAATTTATTATTTATTATTATTATGAGGATCAGTTTAAAGGTGTTCTGTTTGTGCAAAGGCTCTACTTCGCCCCAGTGTCTGCATGGTGGTTCTCCTGAAGTGTTTGGGGCTCTGTAGCTCCTGTCGGCCACTGTAGGTCTGAAAGCTGCTATTTAAGCAAAGTTTGTTATTATTAACACTAGGGGTGTAACGGTACACGTACCCGTACCGAAATTATTCGGTACGGGCCCTTCGGTTCGGTACAGGTGTGTACCGAAGTGTACCGAACGAATATAACGTTAAACGTAAACAATTGAGAACGTGAACAACTTTTTGGAAGTAATCTCAGGTGCTGCGTTGCAGCATTCAGAGTAATTTGCTCACATTGGGTTCAACGCGTCATAGAGCGAGCAAGTCATTTCATTGGATGAGAGGCATACTATGAGAGCTGGTCAGAGGGATGCGTTCAAATGTAGTCAGTAATTTGAGGAACTGTCTCAAATTAATGGCGAACGCAGATAAAGTTGAGCTCGAAAATCCTCCAGCATCATTGAAGTCTCCGGTTTGGGAACATTTTGGTTTCGCAGTTACGTACAAGGATGAAGGACAAAGACAGGTGGACCGAACCAAAGCTGTTTGTCGGCATTGTTCAACTAACATTGGTTACGCGGCTGGCAATACATCAAACTTGCACACTCTAGAAAAGGCATCACCCGAACGTGAATATCACCGGTACCAAAAGACTGAAGTGCAAACCCAACTCCCACTAGCATTTAAGCCTCCACCACTCGCAGAAAGATCAGACCGAGCCAAAGCTATTACAAACGCCAAGTATCATATATTATGTTGCCGTGTTAGCAAAGCGCTACCTGGCTGTATCTGCTACCTCTGTCCCTAGAGAGAGGGTTTTCTCCACAGCAGGAGACATTGTTAGTGCCAGCAGATCTGCCCTTTCGGCAGCAATGTGGACAAGTTCATTTTTCTTTAAAAAAACATGAAAATACAATGACAAGCAAGTCATAATGTCCAGCTGGCTGCTTAGGAACTAGTACAGTACAGTTCAAATACAGATTATTTCAGTTCATCGAAAAGCTGCACCTTAATGTTTATTTTATTATATTTTGTATTTATTTGAGTGAATATTCACAGTTTAATAATAATTAAAAACCCAAAACTAATAGTTTATGTTTTGTGAGTACTAGTACAGTAAAGTTCAAATACAGATTATTTCAGTTCATCGAAATGCTGCACCTTAATGTTTATTTTATTATATTTTGTATTTATTTGAGTGAATACATTATTCACAGTTTAATAATAATAAAAAATATATATATATGTTTTGTTTTGTGAAAAAAAAATTCTGCTGTACCGAAAACGTACCGAACCGAACCGTGACCAAAAAACCGAGGTACGTACCGAACCGAAATGTTTGTGAACCGTTACACCCCTAATTAACACTAGAACCGCCAAGGGGGGTAACTTTGACCCCCTATCACAACGGCATCAGCACCTCCATAGATATCATTTTCAAAACATTTCATTTGTACCTCTTCATTGTTTCCTTATACACTAAGTAGGACTTAACAAAAAAACTATTTAAAACTCAGTTAATGGGGTTCATTTTGAAATTGCTTCAGTTTATCATCGTAACAGATCAAAAAGTTCAGATTCATTTTACAATAAATCAATGAATGATGCGCTTATACAAACAAAACGCAACATCATTAATACGTTTAAACAAACTACCAATAGATTAACTACATTATTCAAAGGTTTACAGCAACTTTGGATCATAGAGCTCCCTTTCCCTCAGTATCAGTCTCATGCTGACCAACCCTCTAACATCATATCAATGAAGGATTATAAAAGACAGTCCCACGCACCTGGAGGCCTCAGTGGAGAACCAGCAGAGGCTCCTTGGGACGGGCGCTGGAAGAAGAACAAGATCTTGTGTTTAATTAAAAAAAAACTGTGCTACCTCGTTACCGTTATGTCAGGAGTGTTTACCTGCAGGTCGCTCAGCAGGAAGTCCTCCTCGCTCGACTTCCTGTTGGGATCGGGCGGATCAACGATAAAGACCTTCGTCACCGTGGAGCTGCGTCTGCCGTCACTGCAGAGAATCTCTATTATAGTGTAACAGGTATTCAGAGGGGCCAGATGGAGACCCTCAGTGCCTTTTAGCCCCCCACTAACTGGGGGATTCTCCACTAACTGGGGGGTTTCTCCACTAACTGGGGGGTTCACCACTAACTGGGGGATTCTCCTCTAACTGGGGGGTTTCTCCACTAACTGGGGGTTTCTCCACTAACTGGGGGGGTTCTCCATTAACTGGGGGTTTCTCCCACTAACTGGGGGGTTTCTCCACTAACTGGTTTTTTTCCCCACTAACTGGTTTTTTTTCCCACTAACTGGGGGTTTCTCCACGAACTGGGGGATTCTCCACTAACTGGGGGGTTTCTCCATTTACTGGTTTTTTTTCCCACTAACTGGGGGGTTTCTCCACTAACTGGGGGGTTTCTCCCACTAACTGGGGGGGTTTCTCCACTAACTGGGGGGTTTCTCCATTAACTGGTTTTTTTTCTCCACTAACTGGGTTTTTTTTCCCACTAACTGGGGGATTCTCCATTAACTGGGGGATTTTCCACCAACTGGGAGGTTTCTCCACTAACTGCGGGGTTTCTCTACTAACTGGGGGGTTCTCTACTAACTGGGGGGTTTCTCCACTAACTGGGGGTTTCTCCACTAACTGTTTTTTTTTTACATTGCATTTAGCTGACGCTTTAATCCAAAGCGACAGGGTTAGGGTTAGGGTTAGGGTTAGGGTTAGGGTTAACCCTAACCCCTAACCCTAACCCTAACCCTAACCCTAACCCTAACCCTAACCTAACCCTAACCCTAACCCTAACAATAAGTGCGTTCGACCAACAAAATGCAAACTTGAAGAAAACAGAATCATATAAGTACATCAGGTTTCATAGAGCAAAAACATTTCAAGTGCTACTCAACTGGCTTTAGATAAGCCAGCCCTTTATTAGTATATAAGTGCTTTGTTAATAGTTCTATCGCTCGAAGTGGAGTCGGCGTGGTGTGAGAGAATTTAGGAAGGGTTTCTCCCACTAACTGGGGGTTTCTCCATTAACTGGGGGGGTTTCTCCACTAACTGGGGGATTCTCCCACTAACTGGGTTTTTTTTCCACTAACTGGGGGGTTTCTCCACTAACTGGGGGATTCTCCCACTAACTGGGTTTTTTTTCCACTAACTGGGGGGTTTCTCCACTAACTGGGGGGTTCTCCATTAACTGGGGGGTTTCTCCACTAACTGGGGGGGTTTCTCCCACTAACTGGGTTTTTTTTTCCCACTAACTGGGGGGTTTCTCCACTAACTGGGGGTTTCTCCATTAACTGGGGGATTTCTCCACTAACTGGGGGTTTCTCCACTAACTGGGGGATTCTCAACTAACTGGGGGATTATACACTAACTGGGGGGTTTCTCCATTAACTGGGGGGCTTTTCCACTAACTGGGGGGTTTCTCCATTAACTGGTTTTTTTTCCCACTAACTGGGGTTTTTTCCACTAACTGGGAGATTCTCCACTAACTGGGGAGTTTCTCCACTAACTGGGTTTTTGTTCCACTAACTGGGGGGTTTCTCCACTAACTGGGGGTTTTTTTCCACTAACTGGGGGGTTTCTCCACTAACTGTTTTTTTTTCTTCCACTAACTGGGGGGTTTTTTCCACTAACTGGGGGGCTTCTCCACTAACTGGGGGGTTTCTCCACTAACTGGGGTTTTTTTCTTCCACTAACTGGAGGGTTTCTCCACTAACTGGGAGGTTTCTCCACTAACTGGGGGGTTCTCCACTAACTGGGGGATTCTCCTCTAACTGGGGGGTTTCTCCACTAACTGGGGGGTTTCTCCACTAACTGGGGGGTTCTCCACTAACTGGGGGGTTTCTCCTCTAACTGGGGGGTTTCTCCACTAACTGGGGGGTGCTCCACTAACTGGGGGTTTCTCCCACTAACTGGGGGGTTTCTCCACTAACTGGTTTTTCCCCCACTAACTGGGTTTTTTTTCCCACTAACTGGGGGTTTCTCCACTAACTGGGGGGTTTCTCCATTAACTGGGGTTTTTTTTTCCACTAACTGGGGGGTTTCTCCACTAACTGGGGGTTTCTCCACTAACTGGGGGGTTTCTCCACTAACTGGGGGGTTTCTCCTCCACTAACTGGGGGGTTTCTCCCACTAACTGGGGAGTTGCTCGACTAACTGGGGGGTTTCTCCATTAACTGGGGGTTTTTTCCACTAACTGGGTTTTTTTCCCACTAACTGGGGGATTCTCCACTAACTGGGGGGTTTCTCCATTAACTGTGGTGTTTTTCCACTAACTGGGGGGTTTCTCCACTAACTGGGGGTTTCTCCACTAACTGGGGGGTTTCTCCACTAACTGGGGGTTTCTCCACTAACTGGGGGGTTTCTCTACTAACTGGGGGGTTCTCTACTAACTGGGGGGTTTCTCCATTAACTGTGGTGTTTTTCCACTAACTGGGGGGTTTCTCCACTAACTGGGGGTTTCTCCACTAACTGGGGGGTTTCTCTACTAACTGGGGGTTCTCTACTAACTGGGGGGTTTCTCCACTAACTGGGGGTTTCTCCACTAACTGGGGGGTTTCTCTACTAACTGGGGGGTTCTCTACTAACTGTGGGGTTTCTCCACTAACTGTTTTTTTTTTACATTACATTACATTGCATTTAGCTGACGCTTTAATCCAAAGCGACTTACAATAAGTGCGTTCGACCAACAAAATACAAACTTGAAGAAAACAGAATCATATAAGTACATCAGGTTTCATAGAGCTAAAACATTTCAAGTGCTACTCAACTGGCTTTAGATAAGCCAGCCCTTTATTAGTATATAAGTGCTTTGTTAATAGTTCTATCGCTCGAAGTGGAGTCGGCGTGGTGTGGGAGAATTTAGGAAGGGTTTCTCCCACTAACTGGGGGTTTCTCCATTAACTGGGGGGTTTCTCCACTAACTGGGGGTTTCTCCACTAACTGGGGGATTCTCCCACTAACTGGGTTTTTTTTCCCACTAACTGGGGGGTTTCTCCACTAACTGGGGGATTCTCCCACTAACTGGGTTTTTTTCCCACTAACTGGGGGGGTTTCTCCACTAACTGGGGGTTTCTCCATTAACTGGGGGGTTTCTCCACTAACTGGGGGTTTCTCCACTAACTGGGGGGTTTCTCCCACTAACTGGGGTTTTTTTCCACTAACTGGGGGGTTTCTCCACTAACTGGGGGGTTTCTCCATTAACTGGGGTTTTCTCCACTAACTGGGGGTTTCTCCACTAACTGGGGGATTCTCAACTAACTGGGGGATTCTCAACTAACTGGGGGATTATACACTAACTGGGGGGTTTCTCCATTAACTGGTTTTTTTTCCACTAACTGGGGTGTTTTCCACTAACTGGGGGATTCTCCACTAACTGGGGAGTTTCTCCACTAACTGGGTTTTTGTTCCACTAACTGGGGGGTTTCTCCACTAACTGGGGTTTTTTTTTCCACTAACTGGGGGGTTTCTCCACTAACTGTTTTTTTTTTCTTCCACTAACTGGGGTTTTTTCCCACTAACTGGGGGTTTTTTCCACTAACTGGGGGTTTCTCCACTAACTGGGAGGTTTCTCCACTAACTGGGGGGTTCTCCACTAACTGGGGGATTCTCCTCTAACTGGGGGGTTTCTCCACTAACTGGGGGGTTTCTTCCACTAACTGGGGGGTTCTCCACTAACTGGGGGGTTTCTCCTCTAACTGGGGGGTT